CGCATGAGCATAAAAGAAAAATATACTAATAAAAGAAGTGGGATACTTAGTGCTGAAGATGGATTTGTAAGGTGCAGTTTGATTTCAAAGAAAATAAAATGTTTTGAAATGGCAAAATGATAGTGGAAGTTGTAAAATACTTATTTAAAAAGGACATTGGTTTCTTTCTTTCCTTTTTCATAGAAGACATCAAAGTTGTCAGCATTTTTTTAGTTGAAATTTCAAAGTAGTATATGAGCAGTGCCACTTAGATTTCTCTGATGTTTGATAATTAACATGTTTTGATAGATGTTAAGCATCATCAAATTATTTTATTCTGTTGTGCAAAATAACCTTCCTTTGCTGAGTTGTTTAAGCATATTGATGACCCCTCTTAGTTACTTGGATTGAAATCCAAGACTTCCCCTTTGTGCTTTTCCATGTTTAGTGGAATATGTCTTTGTTTTTGTGTAGGAGATTTAACTTAACTATTGGGAAGAAAAATACTTCAAGATCAAAAGATGTAAAAAATAATAATATTGACACTCACTGCCATCAAGACAATTCTGATTCGTAGCAACCCCCATTGGGTTTCCAAGGTGGTAAATCTTTACATAAGTAGATTGCCACATCCTCCTTCCATGGGGTGGCTGGTGAATTTGAACCGCCAACCTTCTGGTTAGCAGTCAGATGCCTTAGGCACTGTGCCACCGGAGTTCCTAATAATAATGAGTGCTACTTTATTTCAAAGTTCAAGGGAAAAATAGTCTAACCAAAATAGAAATTGACTGACCAGACGATGGAGTTTGGTTGTCTTTCATAGCATTTCACTCAGCTACTGCTTCTCAATGAGTGAGTTATATATAACTAAGGAACAATGAGGAGTTAAACCTAACCATCAAATTATTTTATTCTGTTGTGCAAAATAACCTCCTTTGCTGAATTGCTTAAGCAGTTTTGATAAGGGATGCCAGCAAGCTGACTGAAAACTGTAGTGCTGTTCACTGCACATGGATAATGAGTGCCAGAGTAGAAGAGTAAATGAATGCTAAGAATTTCAGGAAAACAATTTTACCTTGAGAAGAAGAAACTATTTTCCATTGAAAAGAATCATGAAATGTATTTTTTCTACTTTTTAATGATGTGTAGAGGAAGATAGAAATAGTACCTCAAGGGCTAAAGTCCAACAGAAAAAAATTAGGCATGCATGCTGCATGGCCATGAAATATGTAGTAAAGTTTAGTCATCATTAATTTAATGAATATCCTGCTTTTTTGTAGCTTGGGGAATTTTTGTCTTAGAGCTATATTCTCATGACAGTTAGCACCTGAGCGCTTAACCACTGTGCCACCAAGGATCCATACTAATAAGTTACAAAAATTTAGTATAATCATTTAAAGAGACTATAACACATTATTTTAGTTCCATTCATGTTATGGCTGAGAAGTAATATTGCTATGGTGTTAAATTAGAGGTCAAGGATTTTTTAAAGCTGTCACGTAATGGTGCATTACCAGTACTTTTTAGCTTAATCACTTCAGTGGTATACCTTAGCTTGCATGAATTTAAACTGTACGTTTCCTACAACTATAGAGCCATAGATAGTTCTCTATAAAATTGACCTGGAAAAATCTTATTAGGTTTATTTTATTCTTTTTGAGCAAACTTCAAATGGTTATGGTCATTCAAAATATATATATTTATTGGGAAAACATAAAGGGATTAATAATTTAGACTATTAAGTCCTTTTCTTTGAAAACTGTCAGAACAAGATATTTGAAGAGCAGTTATTGAGAATTCACATTGAATAATTTATGTCAGAATAAGATATATTTTTCCTCTAACAGTATTTATATCATTAATGGCAACAAGGAATTTTGGCTACTTTTTGGTTATGTGATGGATGTATTTTTCCTAAATATGTCCTTTTATGCAAAATAAATAAATAAAACCATCACTACAAAGAAATGGAAATGAAATTTCAAAAGTTGTATTTAAATAACTCTCCCAAAGCTGCAGTGACGCTTCAAATGGAGAAGTCCTAAAACTAGAAAAGGTAACATTCCTGTTTCCACTTCCCTTCCGAAGGTACACTCACACCGTGAAAAGCCGATCTTTATTTTTGTCACCACATGATTTTATTTGGTCAACTTAACTCTAAAAGTAAATCTGATTCTTAGAGAAAATTTCCCTAATGCTCAAAATTTGAATTTATGCTCCTACTAACCAAATTTTCTTTTTTCTGTTTTATCATTAAAGGAAGTATAACTATCTATCTTATGTAGTGGCCCTTTTGATGTGTTCCTAGATCACATCAATGGTTTCTAACAGTTGTGCTGAATTGTTATTCATTTATGCATTATTTTATTTACTTATTCAATCCAAAGTCTCTCATGAGCTGTAGATATTTTGGATTAAGTAAGGAAAAAACAAGGTTCCTACCCTCGTGAAACTCACGGTCTAGCTCTGATTAATACATTGAACTCTCACTCTGATACTTTTCTTCTCAAAGAAGAACTTTAAAGAAAAAAAGGAATTGTTATCAAGTTGATTCTGACTTATGATGACCCCATGTGTGTCAGAGTAAAGCAGAGTAAATTGTGCTCCATAGGATTTTCAATGATGGCAGATTTTTCAGAAATAGAGCAGTAGATCACCAGGTGTATTTTTTTGCCTAGACACATCTATCTGCGTGGACTCAAATTTTAAACTTTTTGGGTAGTCAAAAAATAAAAATAGCAATAAAAACTCAGTGCCGTCGAGAAGGATCCAACTCATAGCGACCCCTCCTTGCGTTTCTGAGGTGGTATCACTACAGAAGTAGATTGCCCAACTTTCCTTCCGAGGAGTGGCTGGTGGGTAGCCAAGCACATTAACTATTTGTACAACTCAAAGAAGAATTTAGTCTAAAGCAAATCACCTTATGCTCACAAAAATCATCAAGGCCACATTCTCAGACCATTTACTTTCTAAGAGGGCCCCAAGCTAGTGCACAGTTACCTCAAGGGCTAAAGTTCAAATATACTCAAACACGTATAACACATTCAAAAAGTGTGCCTGTAATTTAACAGAAATCAAGTAATTTGATTTGCTAGAGTTTATCAGACTACAGAGCCTGGGAATATTAGGAAAGACCTAATTAACATTGATATAATCCACATTTGTATCTAAGTCATATTCTAATTTCACTTGCTGTGTAAAAAAGGTTACAGAACAACACATGAGCATGGGTTGAAAATGATGGGATGCTTAAAGTAATTTCTGGAGAATTTTTATCATTTACAGTGACCTGATATTGTACAAGGTGGTATTATAAGACCTTACAGTATAGCAAGTAATTGAAGCGTACTGTGATTTTGCTACACCAACCTGTGCTGAATTTCTCTACCGTAAATGGCTTCTTCAGTGCAAAGGTCAAGTTTACTTTATCCCTTTAGTGTTCTCATTTTAAAATGTCATATTTGCACTTGCAGATTGTTTCTTATATTTTATTACATTTTAGTTTGGTGGAAAACGTTTACACTGCTTTCGAGAATGGTAGAGGTTTTTGAGCTTTATTGTGAGGCTTGAGGGCCTCCAGCTCCTTGTGGACTGTGTAGTCAGAGAGACTGAGCCGAGCCTCAGCAGGGACCTGAACAGGGGCCCTCCCTCATGCCTGTGGCTTAGTGGGCAAATCTGTAAACATGGTGTTAGGAGAATCATTGAGGAGTGGTTTCCTTATCTGTGGAAGAGGCAAAAAATATTTGTTTCTCTTTTATCAAATTTTCACTGTAATCATTAAATAAGAAAATGTTACCACTTTGCAAAATTATATACCATTCTAGAAACTATAGCTGATATTATTACAGTTCTCTGTTATTGTCTGGTCACCAATATTACTAGAATTAATGAAGTAATGCTTCTCATCACAAATTGAATTACCCTTAAACTACTGCATGTTTTAAAAGTACTGTTTGCTTATTTTGGGTCTCTGTAGTTACCTACCACCTATAATAAACAACAGACATCATTGCCTCTGAAGTGGCTTCCCTGTGACTGAGTGCACAGTGAACCCAGGGGGGACGGAAAACCCACTTGGCTTCAGAAGTGATACATCAGATGTGACAAAGCCACTTTAATGAGAGTCATAAATTACAACTCTTTCTAAACCAGGGACAAACATTTTAGCCCACCCTTTGGGATAAACCCAAGCCCAAGCCATTCATTGCATTCTGTGGTGTGCAGTGAACACTGTGGGAAATTAACAAGGAAGTGGAGCCTTTTCCTGTAATAATACAAAATGATTAAGAGGACATAAAAAATCAATTGATTAATCAATAGCGTGTAACTGCTTGAAGCACTTTCCCCATGCTAATCAGTCATTAAGTTGTTTAAACTAAATACCTCCAGTTCCCCAATTATTGAATTGATTTATAAGACGTGGTCAAGGGTGTCAGAGTCCAGTGGAGCCAGATTCCAAAGCATTAGTCATTTGAGAAAGACAGAAATAATTTACAGATTATTATTATTATTATTTACTGTGGATTCTCTTGATAGGAAGGATATAGCGGGAGATGGCCTTCCATGTTCCAGACAACAGCAAATTTACTTGATACCCTAAATTCTAAACATGTACCTTTGTTTGAGAATATGGATGGGAGCTTGTTTTAATTCAGGAGCAAAGGAGATCAAAATAGCTAAAGGAATACATATATAAACTATATAGATGCAGGCCTTTAAAAGTTGCTTTAAACCACTTTTTAAGCCATGGTGAGCAGCACACAATAAATCATGATAGCAAACAAGATTCTGAATTCAAAACAATCACAGGTATTCTGACAATGCATTCAAAGTGACTTCTTATTATTTACCTGTGTGTTGCCAGCAATTCTAGTATCAACACCATTTGAAAACTTACTTTATTTTATTATTATTATTTTTTAAGTTGAATGCCACTGTGGGGGAAAAAAAAAAACACTAAGAAATAACTTAAAACAGGAGGGAAAAGCTTTTTTTATTGATATGTTTTACTTTGCTGGCAGACCAGAGCAAAGGTTTTGTGAACATTTAAAAGATGAAAAAGGTGAAGAATCCCAGAAGCGGTTTATCTTGAAGCGAGATAACTCTAGTATTGATAAAGAAGACAATCAGGTTGGTTCTCAAGTTTGAGAGTGGCTGACATTGTTGTTTTTGAAGGTGGGCTGACTGATGTTCTTGTTGTTCTTCTGTTGTCCCCTCTTCCCTCTTCCAACCCTCCCTGCCTCTGACACTGCTGCCTCTCTCCGACTTCCTTGCCCCTCTGGCCTTCCCCTTTGGCATTCAGTGGGTAGCAAAAAAAAAAAAAAAAGAAAAATGTCCTGGTTGCTTTAGCAATGGCTCTGTGTTGGGCTGCATGGGTGGTGCTTGGCGCAGTTCCTGCTGCATGTTTTGGGGGTGGGGGATTGGGATGCTTCAAGCTCTGAGCTGTTGGGAAAAGCTTTGTCAGTCGCATTTCCAGATGTCTGTGTAACTATGGCAGTCGTTCCACTCCCTACAGCTTTGTCCTTCAGTTGTGCACAAATTGAGCTGGATTATCAATACGGACCGATGATCACCCGGTGTAGCTGTAAAGAACAAACCTTGTTATGGTGAGGACAGGTGGATTTTGCAACTATCCTAAAATAAGTCTTCACGGAAAAGAATTGAGTTCATGTTTTAGTCTCCCACCCCTTCTTCTTCCCATGTTTTATTGTCCATGTAAATTGTCTGCCTGTTTTGCATGAACTGTAGCAGAGTTGTATCCTTCTGTGTATTTTGCTTGTTACAAAGCATTACGTTGTTCTAGAGTAGCTATGTCCATGATACCTGGACAAGGGTAGAGAGTTCACTAAGTCTCTTCTCCAGATTGAGGAGGGAAGGCTGGGAGGTGGAGGGTAATAAGGTAGGACATAAATGAATGGCAAAAGAATGATTCAACTATAATAAGAACAGTACAAGGCCACATAAATGCCATTACAGTTACACCTTGTATCTTCAACAATCAAAATAGCTTTTTTGAAAATAACTTTTGCTTTAGAATTCTTAAAGATAAGACAATATGCATCTCACTCAAGTTATTATTTTAATTACTTTCAGTGAGTCACTGAAAGTCAGTATGTGCATCTCTGATGCACTTTTTTTAAACGTGTTCATCATTTGTATCTCCTTTCCTCCCACCACCACAACTGAGCTAAACTGTGGCTCGTGTTGACTATGAAACATGTACCTGTGTCGTGTACTTAGTGGGTGTTTGTCGAATGGATGTATGAATGTGGTTAGTGTATAGCATCTTGTGAGGAATGATGAGACTAAGATGGGAGGGTAGTTAAGATGCAGGAAGGAGTTCAGATGAGAGGATGAAGAAGAGCAGTCCTCATGCTGGATTCTTTGAATTGTTACTTTACTTTTCTTGCTACTGGCTCTCATCACCAAACAGGCTTTTTAAATTTGAAGTCTTAGGTCTTACTGTCCATCCCAGATGCAACTCACAGGACCAGTCTTGAGTGAGTGAATAAAAAAATACAAATTAGGATACAGAGAAAAAGTGTCAACAAATTCTGTGTGGCCCTGACTTTATTTACTCACTTCTGTTTCTCCAGTCCCACGTTTTCAAAGCCATTTCTTCCCTCGGCCACTTTGAACCAGCCACTTCACCAACAGCTTGCCTCTTTTGGAGGATTCAAAATCATGCAGGTTAGCAAAGGAGACAGAGTCCATCACTGGTGACCCACCGTCTATCTGAATTGGCTAACTACCTGAGGCACTTCCAGGTGTTTTCATTTCTGAAACATCTGTGCTACTTCCAGCCAGCAAGAAAGCAACCAGGTGCAGCAGACATCACCCGTCATTGCATGTCACACACACACACATGCATGCACATGTGCACACACACTGTACATGTACGCCTCCATGGCCTCCTTATGGACCAGGGGGCTGGAGACTTTTCATGTCCCATTTCTTTAAATGAACATTTATTATTCTCAGCTGACAGTTGCTTAACTGCAGATTTCTAACAGCTCAACTTGGATAACCCTCCTGATTTCTTTTTTCTGTTCAGCAAAACAGAATGCATCCATTTAGAGATGACAGACGAAGTAAATCAATTGAAGAGAGAGAAGAGGAATATCAGAGAGTGAGGGAGAGAATATTTGCACACGATGTGAGTAGTTGTTTTAATTGCCTCTTTAGTGCGGTCCTTCCATCAGCAGTAAGGCAACCTCATTCCCCAGACAGTGAGCTGGCAGGCAGTAAGGAGGCTGGAGCCAGGGAACAAATCGAACTGCAGCAATCTAGAGGTGTTTCTGGAAGAGGACCTGGTTCACAGAAGTGATGGAAAAGTAGCCAAAGGTTATGACTTGTAGGATACACAAGTCTAAGTCTGTTCAGTAAAATGAAACTCAACCTTAGAGAGAGGTAATCAGGTTTAAAGAAATGGCTTCACATCCATGTTAACCAGCAAATATTCCAGTATTGTATCCTTTTTAATATCAACATTGTGCAGAGAACAAATTACAGACAAGAAAGAAGAGTAATTTGCCAAGAAATCATCATATAATTTATTTTGTCCAAATCCTAACAGAATTTTTTTTTGTCTTTTTGATCACTGGGACAAAAATGAAAGAGAATTAACATATATTACAAGATGGGAAGAAAAAAAAACCTTACAAGTGGGGTTTAAATACAAGAAAGTTAAAAAGGGGAGCTAGTCCTGTAGCATTTCCTTCCAGACTATAAAATTGTTTGCCTGTTCCTAAAGTGTTGTGTGTTCTTCCTTCTGCAGAAGTAGAAGTCTGAGCTTCTTTGTGTAGACTTTTCAGTGGCCAACCCTTCCAGCTTTGCTAAGTCAGTTGGGTATCTGACCTTGGTTGTGATTTGATACTGGAAGTTATATGATATCAGCCTTGAGCCCTGCGCTTCAATGCTTAGCCTGGTTGAGGACTTGTGGAAGGTGGTTTTAGGTCCAGGCCAGTTGCTCTGCTCAACCAGTGCTGCTTTGATATGCAGCCTTGGGAAAGTTCAAACCCCTGCAACACTGCACTTCCGTCACAGTTTTTACAGGTTTCTATGCTCTGGTAGCATAGTGCCTAAGACACTTTACTGCTAACCAGAAGGCTGGCGGTTCAAACTCATCAGCCACTCCTCGGAAGGAAGATGGGGCAATCTACTTCCATAGTGATACTGCCTCGGAAACCCAAGGACGGGTCACTATGAGTCAGGTCCGACTCGATGGTACATACATAACAACAACAACAACAACGTGATCTCTTCTGGATCTACTCTGTCTTTCTTGGGTACAATAAAATGACACCCTGACAGTTGGCTAGATCTGTCCCAGAGCTCTGGTATTAGTAAATTGTTAGGATGGAAGTAGCCACAGTTGGGCGTTTGACTTCCATTCCAGAAAATTTTGCATAGTGTGTGTGACTTAGATTGTTATTATGATCAGAATAATAGATGGTGCAAAGCATAGCTCTGACATATGGTAGAGCTTTCAGTGTGTTTGCTGGGTACCAGAATGAAGTGATGCAAGAATCTGTTCTAGTCATAATAGAACAAGGATATAAGCTTCTTAGTGTAGACCTTCTGGTGACCAGTACTTGCAGCATTACTAATTCATGTGGGGTATCTGACCTCCTGTTTCTGACATAACTCTTTCACGTCATCTCCAAGGGCAGGAGTTTTTAACCAGCATCTTGTGTGCCCAGTATTCTCACAGAATAAGTTTAGGGATTGCCCCTGATATTATGTGCAAAATGTGCCATGAGCATGTATGAATTTGTTTTTTTAAAGAAACATCCCTATTGTTTACCATATTACAAGTTTCCATGACACCGAAAAGGTTAAGAGGGAGAAAAGCATGGCCACAGCCTTTTCCCTAGACCTGCAGCTCTCCTAGAGATGTTTGGACATACCACTGATATTCTCTGTATACTAATTACCTAGTGCAGCATAACAAATTAGCCCAAAATTTGAGAGCTTAACACAGCAAACACTTACTACTTCATGGTTTCTGTGGGTCAGCAATCTGCGAATAGTTTATTGGTGGTTCTGGCTCAAGATCTCTCTTGAGGTTGCTGTCAGGTTTTTGGACAAGGTTAGAGTTATCTAAAGGTTTGATTGATGGGTTGACCACTTCAAAACTCAGTCACATGGTTATTGACAAGCTTCAGTTCCTTATTGGCTACAGGCTGGAGACCTCAGTTCCTCACTATGTGGGTCTGTCCGTATGCTGTTTATGTGTCCTCGTGACACGGCAACTTGTGATCCAGAAGCCAGAGCTAGAGAGGGACCAAGATGGAAGCTGCACTTTGGACATCACTTCCTTTCTGCTGTATTCTGTTGGACACACAGAGCAACCCTGGTACAGTGTTAAAAAAACTACACAAGGTTGTGTACACTAGGAGATGGGGATCGTTAGAGGCCACATATATTACTTTACTATATCTTCTTTTAACACAAACTTAAAAGGCATAGCATAGCAATATGAACTTTCTTGAATATGTATAGTAACAAATCTTCCTTACCATTGACATAAAGATACCACACTTTTGGGGAGCTTCATCTTACTCGCTTTCAGGTTCTCAAATGATCACAATCAGTGCCCAAATCGTTAAGATACACAGTAAGATGATTAGATTATCCTAAATCAATTATAAACCAAATGCAAGAATCCAGCATAAGGAAACTACATTATACAAGTTTCATCTTCTATTTAGCTGATCTTTAATTCCTTCATAATTTAAAACAGAGCCAATAAACCAGCTTTTCTTGGCAATTATTATTTAAGTAGTAGAGTCACTCAGACAGGTTAAAATATTGATATACTTCAGCAGAATTTGTTTGTTTGTTCTCTACTTGGAGTATCAAGAGAGAATGCAAAACTACTTCCTGTTGCTTGCATTTAACCTAACAGAAGTCCAATTTACTTTAAAATTAAGAATGTTCTTGAATATTTTACCAAATATATCACAGTGTCTGAAGTGTGTGTGTGTGTGCGTGCATCCAAGTGTGTGTATGCATGTGTGATTTCAGCCAGAGCACACACTAATTTAGTCTTTAAAAAATTGTAAATGTATTTTTGGTAATCAGTGATATTTGAAATATCTTAACTCTCTTATTTCCTTTGGCAAGGATTTCAGCTTATTTTATAATTAATTCTACGTAACATAGCTAATTTTGAGAAGGGTAGCTTGATAAAGCATTATTTTGGTGAAAAACCTGTTTTGCCAGGAGTGCAATTTCTGAAAGATATTTAAGTATATAGAGGGCTTCAGGGAGGAGCTCAACATCCCTGAGCACTTGCTGAGCTTCCTCTTCTGTGAGAACTAATAATAAGGGCATGAGGTGCCACCAGCATTGGGGGATGGGAGGTGGGCGAGAATTCTGTAAGCCATTAGGCAAGCTCATTTTTCTCTTTTTTAAAAAAGTGAGCCCTTTATATCTGAGAATGCATAAAAGTGACAGCTTTGAATGTAGCACTTAATTGCTGTGACAATTTTATCTTTCTCTGCTATTAAAATTTGCATGTAATTAATATTACTTTTTTAAAAAAGTTTATTCTCATCAGCTACTGAATTGCACCCTATTAGTTACTCGGTCTTATTAATGAAAATGGAGCAGGATGATGAAATGATTGTTCAGGATCTTTCCATAAAAATCAGGAAAAGATACTCTTTTTTTTTTTTTTTTTAATTGTGATTTGGGTGAAAGTTTACAGAGCAAATTCACTTTCCATACAGCAGCTCACATACACTTTATCTCATGACATTGACTACAATTTCCCACAATGCAGCAGCTCTCCTCCCACTTCCTCCCCATAGTTACATCTTCCCTGTGTCCCCTCCATGCTCTCCTGCCCCCTGAGCTGTCTTCTTGTGCGTACATAGCCCTTCTGTTCTCCCATGATTGCTCTCTCCAGGGAGTGCATCTACCTAATGTAAATGTTTCAGTTCATATGCCTGTCTTTTGTTTGGCTGGAAGCCACAGGAGTGGGTTCAGTTACAAACCTGAAGGCCAGCTAGGGGCCATAGTCTCAGTGGTTCCATCAGGCTCTATCAGACCAGGAAACGTGGTCCCTTTTAGGGAAAGATAATCTAGAGATACATTTTGGGGCAAGTTATCTTTGCCTTGTCAGTTTCTTAATCTTTAATTCATGGAGTTTGAACTGTAAGCTTAACTTTCCCCAAAATGCCATTAGATTAGTAAGTGTGAAGAGGTCAAAAGAGGTCAGTATATCTTCGATCAACTACTTCAAAAAGCAGTAGTCTCAGGAATTCTGACATGCAGCCAGAATGTTGTAAATTCAAACTGACCTCTTTGCAACCATAAGAGCTGAGAAGCAAAATATTTTTAAAATATTTAAAAAAATTTCTAATGTATATCTGAGATAACCTTACTTGCTTTCATGTACCCTTACTTGACTCAAGTTTGTAGGAAATAAAGAAAACTAAAGGAATAAAGAGAATAGAGTATTTCATACACTATAAAGAGATCTTTGTAGGAATAATGTCAATGACATATCACTTATATTTGATTCTCTTTATTGTTGTCATTTTTTAGGTGTCAAATGAAAAAGTGATTTTCTGAAAAATCTTTTTCTTAATTGGTTGTTTTTTCTTTCTGTTAAATGATGTTTTTGTAAACTTAATATACAAGATGCATGTTGGATACATGGAGCTTAAAACAGAAATGGTTCTAGAGATGCCCTCAATGAGGTACTCAAGACACTGAGGAAAACATTACGTCCAAACCCAGCCCTTTGCTTAGCAGAAAGAAACAGTTTTTGTAGCCCAATGAAGAGAAACCAATATCCTACCTGCCTCTCTGAGCAGTGGTTACATTACCAGCATCTTTTAAGTTATGAGTTAGAATTCATTATTGAAATAATAAGGTCATTATCATTTCTTTAGTTTTATTTTGTCTTAAATTGAGCTTGTGAAGTCTCTCTTGTTCCTTTAAGAGGCAAGTTATTCATTACTTTCAGAAGCTACACATACAGTAAGATGTGTATATATTTATGTTAGAAATGCAATATTTTGAGATTGGTTTTAATTTCTAAACGTAGTCACTATGTTTTAGGAACAGGACACCATGTTTTGTCTGCACTTCTTTTTGTTGCTCATTTAAGTTTTCCCCAGCATAAAATGATAACGGAGTTTCATGTTCCTAACAATATGCATTAAACATAAGGGAGAGAACCGAATGCTAGGGAATGGGAGCTAAGAAGAAAATCATTGTTTTTTATTATGTGAAAACCTGAGAAATATTAGATGGAATTTGACTCCCGCCCCCCCAATAACTTCATTTCTTCTTTTCTACTCTTCTGCCCCCTTTATTTTACGATTAATGATATATGGTATTTCTTCACCTTTGAGTTTTGCACTCATTCTGCTGCTTTTCTGAAAGTTTAGCATTGCCAGGTAATACTCTCAGGATTGTGGCTTGGTTGCTTCTCTATCCCCGCTGGATGGTACCAGGTTTGCATGCTCTGCCTTGATTTGACCCCATTTCTTTGGCTCTTGCTGGTGGCTGTAGCTCGCAGCTCGCTCCGTCTGAGCCGACCCACCAGCGGAAACCTCTGCTCAGAATGCGACAGTCACGTTTCTCCAGCAGTTTCATTCACCACATCGCTCTTCTTCTGACCTCGGTGCTGAACGGGCTAAATCTATTTCAATCCTGGAAATGACTTGATGGAAAAATACCGTGGGCTGCATGAGAATTGTTTACTCTTCTAACTCTAACCTATTTTGTTTTTCTCTTTTTACTTCCATGTTTTTTGAAAATTGTATATATTTTTCTTAATCCTTTTTCCTAAGGAAGGGAAAAGTAGTTTTAAAAATCATGCGAGGATTTGGGATTCCTCAGCATATCCAGAACGTCTGATACAATGCCTTTCTTTTATTTTTCAGTCAGTTTGCTCCCAGGAAAGCCTTTTTGTGGAAAACAGGTAAAATGAAATTTATTTTTCATGTCTTTATAAGAGCAAAGTCTGTCATGTGTGTCCTGTATATTCATAGATTTATATGCTCCATATATAAGTGTGTTCTTGAATATATGTATAAAGAAATACATATATCTAAGTGGACACACATATATATGCACACATATATGTTACTTAACATGTCTAAAATTATTTAATTTCAGAAAACATTTCTGTCAATTACATCCAAACATAAGCTCAAACGTTTTCTTTATTAAGCTCTCAACATCCGGTCCTTCCAAAGGTATAATTCCTATAAAAAAAGTATAAATATTGAGACCACACAGGAACTTGCAGTTTCATTGGCTTATAGAATAGTCTGCTAAAAGTATTTGCATATTTGGTGTTATTAACCACTGCTCGTGCCCCTTAATTCTATATAGCTATAAAAATGATAGTTTGGATAATATTGTTTATATATTAGTCTTCAGAAAAGGCTAACTTGGAAATCTTATCAAAACTGGTCTGGATATATCAATGTATTTGGCTAAAGGATTAGCAGGGGAGGTCATGGTTTTCAAATGGATAAGTTACTAAATTTATAAAAGTCTGGAGCATAATATAGCAGAAAAAAATGTTCAAATTTAGCATATGCCTTTTAAAAAATACTTCTGAATAGACATGAATATTAAAATACTTCATAATTTAATTGCAGAATTTCAGGAGGGAATTAAGGAATTCCACACTAACTGCACTAATCACATTTAAGATCCATTCAAATGGGCACCATGTATTGGAAATACGGTATTCCATAAAAAAAAAAGTGGCTGTTGATTTTATCTAAGGTATCAGCTTAATGTAGGTTCCTATAAAATGATTAAAATGGAGGCTGTTTGATTAAATGCCAGTACTTAGAAATTTAAACTGGGCAATAGAGATGATTAGCAAGGAAAAAAAAAATGCATCATTCATACCAGCAGTCAAAAATCTTCAAGTACCTAATCAATTAAATCACCTTTTCTTCCATGACTCTTTTAGAAAAGTGGAGGAATTAGAAAACAAGTCTATATGAATGAGGGATTCGAAAACAACTCTCAAAGTTATCCTGGAATCCATACACATTCAGACAAATATTCCCTATTTACAACTAAACTAAAAATCCACGAGCATTGACATCTTGGGAAGGACTCTGAAACATTCCAAGTTCTATATCTTTACCAAAAAAGATTAAGTGAGTGTTTACAATTCAATTAATGAGAATCCTATTCCCTAGTCTTCTGGCAAATTACTTTTTCAACCTTATTTCCTAATCCAAACTCATTTACTTAAGTTTTGTATATTAAAAAAAAAAAAAAAAAAAAACTGCTTTAATCTATTAAGTGTCCCTTGTATTCTAATTTGATTATCTTCAGAAATATAATAATTGGTCACATATTTGTGTTGTATATGTGGGCTCTTCTTGGTCCCAATATGGCAAAATTTAATTGCTTTGTTCTTCTCCAAAAATCAATATATTTCTTGGATGCTTGCATCTAGAATGACAGTATTTCTCTTCTGCCCAAAAATAAAGAACAATTTTAATGTTATTCCCCCCAAAATCGCAATTCATGTATTAAATTAGATGCTTATTATATCTATGACATCAATTTATTTTATTCTCTTCTCCCCTTTCACTCCCTGTGTTAATCTCCCCACTTCTCCTGTAGCATTAGTGCCATAATCCTTTGGTCGAGATCTTAACCCTAGAGTTGGGAAAACCATGCTGCTATTCACTGATTATGGTAAAATTATACATCATACATATACATGACATTGTATGGGGCTGATCTTCAAGAAAAGGGTGCCGAAGCTGAGTAGACACCCATTAAAAATAGGGCATTTAGTGTGCATAGGTTTTATATCATAAAAATCATGTTTTTCATTTCCAGTAGGCTCTTGGAAGACAGTAACATATGCAATGAGACCTATAAGAAAAGACAGCTCTTTCGGTTGGTATGGTTTACTTTTTTTAAAAATGTGTTTTCAGATTATGTGGCAGAGTCAATGTTATATAAGTGTATTAGTGTAAAATATTTTTGTTCATGAAATAAAAGTACGTTTGGCTATCTCTTTGTACAGGTTGTTACCTAGCTAGTAGTGAAGCCATATTGGATAATGTGAGATATGGAACTGGAAAGCCATCTGTCTGGATTATAATGAACTACTTAAATCAAGATCTGTATAGGATGAAAAGACAGGATTATACTATTTTTTTAAAGTTCTGCACTAGGGTGGAAACTCCATGAAGGCAGAGGGACCATATCCATTTTCACACTATTCTACTTACTGTATCTCCAGCATCCATCATAGGGATAAGGATGCACAGTGTTACAAATATACTTGATATTCAATATGCTTATGAATATGTTAGTGCATTTATGAATAATAGACTTTATCTCTGTTGAAGGAAAAGCTTAAAAAAAACTTCTTGCTCACTGAGAAGAAAGAAAATACCAACAAAAATGCTCATACATAAAGAAAAAGAAATGTCATCTGCCTTGTAATTCAGCACAGAATTGAAACTATCTGATTTATGACTACTCTGGGCTCAAATCTTATTTCCCTTTAGTAGTCCAACTCTGATGATCAGATCTGTCATTACCATCATCCTCTTGGATTCCAGTAGGAGAGGACCAAGACTGGGCTTAGGAGGGAAGGAAGGCACTGTGTCTGTTTTTCTATAATACATATGATTCTACATCCAAATAGAGCTATTACTAATTCTGAACATTGAATAAATCAATGGCTAGCAAACTATAAATTATTTTTCAATGTGCAAATGCCTTCAGATCATGAACTAGAGTTAGATGCATTATTTAGAATCTGGTTAAGGCTAAGTCCCTAAAGCAGCAACTTAAATTTCCTTTTTCAAAAAATGCACAGGTCTTGTCTTGGGATGATGATTTGGGCTGGAGGAGAAGTTAAGGAAATCTTAGGTTGCATTGTTGGCCAGAGGATGTGTATAAATCTGTAGGAACTACCCACAGCGCTAGAAACAGCTTTGCAAGGATGACAAGTGCAGACTAGAATGTACTAGATCTCACCTATGAATAGTGGTGGCCTCCTTGTTTGCAGACAGAGGCTGAGCCACACTGGCAATTAGAGCAAGTTTGGATTCCTCCCATGAAGGTGCAGAGTTCATGGGGAGAGGAGAAATTGAAACAGAGTTAGTGATGGGAACAAGGGATCACCCCCATATAAATAGCTCCCTCTTGATGCCCACTGCATGCTGAGCCTGAGAACCATCCCTCATCTTCAAGCCAGTGCTCTCCTGTAATAAATATCCTGACCTACCGACAAATTGTCACATTCTTGGTGTATTCATAGTGGTTAAATATTAATGAAAACACATCTTAAAGGGCCAGGCTTTGTCAAATACTAGTTAACTTCCGTGGGAGAACAACGAAGTTGAATTTGGGTAGTGAAAGAGAGACAATCAGGAATGGAATTCCACACCCTTTAAAAGATTACTTTCTCCACCCAGTCTCCCATGGACCTCCCAGGGTTTTCTTGAATTTCAAAAGTGTAAGAACCAAAGTGACCTAGCCATTGGTGGGTGTCAAGTACTTCCTATCCACAGCCGGGTATTTTTTATGTGGTCATCTTTTCTAAAGCCAGCCACCCCCAAGGTGCTGAGAAGAAAGGGAATGTTTGGAAGTACTCATGGATGGAGGATGGCAGGGTACTGAGTATTGTCATCTACTATTCCCCTTGAGAATGTTTTTTGTTTTATCATTTTTCTGTTCTATTTCCTCCTCCCACCTTACAAATTTCCCATAATCCCTGAGATCCATTTATCTTCTTAAGTGTTCATGAAATGAAAGAAAAAGTTTAGTAACTAAAATGGAAGCAAAACTTGAAATTTTCTGTGTATCTTCTGTACAGATTAGTCAGTGAAGGTTTCATTCAAAAACTCATACTTTTAGCATCTCAACAGCCGTATTTATCAACAAAGCTACCAATCACATCTGTGAGATTTGGGTTAAGACTCTGATATATCACATTACATACCGATATAAAATTTGGGCTTATTTCTATTGCCCATGATTTATTTCACCTTTACAATACTATGAAGTCTCTGGTGGCACAAATGGTTTTTGCTGGACTACTGACCTAAAGGTTGGTAATTGAAGCCACCCAGCCACACCATAGAAGAACGGCCTGGTGATCTGCTTTCATAACACTTACAGCCAAGAAAACCCTATGGGGCAATTCTACCCTACAGCACACGGGGTCACTGTGAATCAAAATTGACTCCACAGCAAAAGGTTACTTATTTATAATCCATGAGGATCTTAGGGCATTTTTCCAACTTCAGGAAAAAGAAGGAAAAAAAAAAAAAGAACTTTGAAAATATTAGTAAAGTTACTTTTTAAGCAGATTGGAAACCAATGAAAATGTAAATTTCATCAACTTCCTTTGTAAAATGGGTGCAGTTTTGCACACTTACATGTTTTCTGGAGTCTTCAGAATTCACTTCTGACTTTGGACCCCTTCCAGTACATTCACTCTTTCTGTTTGAATTTTGTGCTCTTTCACCTTTCAAGGATTTTGCATTCCCACTGATCCCCTTGGACAGTTTCATGTCAGTTTAATGTTTACACTGTTGTTGTTGTTGTTGTCGTTGTCATCATAAGCTTTTCTATGTGAAAGAACTGAAGAACTCTTTCCTCTGCCCATGAAGGTTAAACTCACTGGGCAAAATTATCACAGGTAAACAGGGTAGTTTCTGTGCTATCTACTTAAAGCCTTAGTGAATTCAGAGGGAAGAAATGCATTTGGAGATCTACCCCAGGTCATCTGTGATCACTACGTTGTTGTTGTTGTTATGTGCCATTGAGTCGTACCCAACCCATAGAGACCCTTCCTTGGGTTTCCGAGGTGGTATCACTACGGAAGTAGATTGCCCAACCTTTCTTCCAAGGAGTGGCTAGTGGGTTTGAACCACCAGCCTTCTGGTTAGCAGTCAAATGCCTTAGGCACTATGCTACCAGAGCTCCTGTGATCACTGTATGTATATATATATATATCACTATATGTATCCACTATATATCATGAAGGAGTCTATGGGTGGCACATATGGTAAAGCACTGGACTACTAGCTGAAAGGTTGGAGGTTCAAACCCACACAGAGGTGCCTTGGAACTAAGATCTAGCAAACTGCTTCCAAAACTGCTTGAAAATCCTATTGAGTTCAGTTCTACTCTGCACACGTGGGGTTGCCATGAGTTGCATTCAATTAAAGGGCAACTAGAAACAACAACATATATCATGAAGTTGGAAATTTAATTAATAAGTAGTTAACTCTGGGGCTGTGGACATTTTTCATGGCTCAATACTGGAATGTTGAAAGGAAAGGCAAAATAGTATTCCCACATATTCATTTGTGGTTGATTTAAGTCAGCAGGACTTAATCCTTTTCTCCTCCTCCCCAGATAAGTTAACAATTTCATTTTATAGCCTATTTTTTAATTGCTTCTCCTTCACTGGCAGAGGGACCATTTGACATTTCTAGGTTTGGTTCTTCTGTTTGTAACAGGGGTGTGATGTGTTCTCTGTCTGTACATCATTGATTTATTTGTGGCACTCTTTGCAAGGTAAACAGGTTTCATGAAAAGGGTTGGCAAGAAGGGTCCAGTGTAGACAATTCTTCCAAGAAAGGCCCTGCTTGGTGTCTACACTGGTCGTGCAATGTAACACTTGTCCCTGTGCATCTTTCTGGCGGTCCTACTTCAGGGGCAACAGAGATGGCTCAGGGAGGACATCTGGGAGTCGACAGAGCAGCTCAGAGAATGAACTCAAGTGGTCTGACCACCAAAGGGCCTGGAGCAGCACGGACTCTGACAGCTCTAACCGCAATCTGAAGCCAGCCATGACCAAGACAGCGAGTTTCGGTGGCATCACAGTGCTGACCAGAGGTGACAGCACGTCCAGTAGCAGGAGTACCGGGAAGCTGTCCAAAGCAGGTAGCTAGTACTGAAGGAGGGTGTGTCCTGTACTATTTTCTGTATTCTAGTCAAGCCATATGGTCACACTTCCCTCTGACTTCAAGTAACCAATGATGATGATGTTATTAATTACAGGGAGCACTGAGAAGTCACATGGTGGGCTTTAAATACCATCATTCCCACTTGCTAGCTGTTTACATAGGTCAAGTTAATCCTCAGTTTCCTTACCTATAGATGTAAATTATAGTAGAATGTTAACTCGAATCCACCTCAGCTTAGACTAGGCATTTGTATAAAAATGACTGCCATAGCATGAAACTGTTTAATAAATGTTAGATTTTTTTAAAGTTCATACTAAGATTTAATACTTAAAATCACTCTGTAAAGTAAATATTATATTAATAGTTTGGGCTCCTGAGTAGCACAGTGTTAGTATGATATTGGTTAGTATTAAAGTTATTTAATGTATTTGTGCCTTTGTTTCTTCATCTGAGAAATGGAAATAACAATAGTACTTATGGCAGGGTTGTTGCAAAAACTACATGAGCCAATGTATCTAAAGTGATTAGAATAATGCTTCACATGTGTAATAATTCTGTAGTGCTGCTATAACAGAAATACCACAAGTTGATGGTTTTAACAATAGAAATTTATTTTCTCACAGTTTAGGAAGTTAGAAGTCCAAATTCAGGGCGCCGGCTGTAGTGAAAGGCTTTCTCTTTGTGTCTACTTGGGAGGAAGGTCCTTGTCTACTCAGCTTCTGCTTTCTGGTTCCTTGGACATCTCCTTGTGTCTTGGCATCTGTGTTGCTCACTTGCCTCAAAAGAGCCACCCTACGCTAATCCTATCTCATTAATATAGTAAAGATAAACCATTCCCAAATGGGATTATATAACCATAAGTATAGAGATTAGGATTTACAACACGTATTTTTGGAGGACATAATTCAATCTATAACGGCAAATTAAAAACCTTAAATAAACACTAGTTCTTATTGTTGTTGTTGTTTTTTATAATTTTCATTTAATGTTTTCATCCCTGCTTTGCAGATGAAAAAAGTCAACCTTGGAGAGGTTTAGAGTTTCCAAATGCAAGCATCTTTTATTGTTCTTTTTTGTCCTTCCAAGTAAAGAGTGATATTTTGAAGTGGGCCAGTTGAGTTTGCATGGACAGTCTTTGGGACAAGAGTGAAAAAGAGAGACCTGGAAGAACCATCAACTTAAAACAACTTTAAACTAATGGAATCACAGACATCATAGTGCTCAAAAATCCAAACAAACCACATCCACTGCCATTGAGTCCACTCCAACTCATAGCAACCTGTGATGGGTTTCCAAGGCAGTAATCTTTGTGGAAGTAGATTGCCCCATCTTCCTTCCACAGCTGGTGGGTTTGAACCACCAGTCCCATTGGGTTTCCTTCTTGTTAGCAGTCAAATGCCATATGCACTGTGCCACCAGTATTACTTAAACAACAACGTAACCCACTGCTGTGGAGTCGGATCCAACTCATAGCAACCCCTCCTTGGGTTTCTGAGGCAGTATCATTGCAGTAGATTGTCTCATCTTCCTCCAATGGAGCAGCTAGTGGGTTTGAATGCAGACCTTATGGTTAGCAACCAAATACCTTACCCACTGCACCACCAGAGCTCTTTATGAGCAGGCATGGGGTGATAATTGGAAGATGACAACTAGAACTTAGACAAGGGCTGACCACAGCTGTGAATACTGTCCTAACCAATCCCCATGCTCACAGTCAGGGGGAGCCTCTTCGAAAAATCTGGGCTCATTATGGTGATGGCTTAGCATAATTATGTTGTTAATAAATGCCTCCTAAGAAATTATCTCCTGCTATCCTAAATAGCCAGAAGATTAATAGCATTTTGCCATAGCCACTATTTTTTATATACCCTGCTTCTTGGAAAGATTCTGGTGGGCTCACACTGCCTTTCTATAATCTTTTATTCTCCAACTCATGAATTCTTGATTTCTTACTGTAATTAATTGCTCTCATATCCCACTATTGCAACAACTAAAGTCAAGAAAATCCACTGTGGTGCACTTGAGCTCTTGTAAACTAAGAAAGGTTAAATACTTTTAAATCTCCTTAAAATGCAGAAACCAAGTACCTTAAATGGTGCACTTAAAAACTGCAGCACACCAAAAGAGCTCTTAAGATTTTTAAATTAATCATCATTTTCTGTGCACCATCCCCCAATCACTTCCAAAGCTAAGCTCTTTGGAAACATTTAAAACACTTCAAGAATCCTAAAACGCCATGTTCTTTGAAGAATGATTAGAAATTGTAAGTGCTTCTGACTTTCTTTTTTTCCTTTTAATCTAAATGTCTCCATTTGAAAGCTTGTCATGGTGCAGGCAGGGGAAGGAAACATTTTTTGTGTGTGCAGGAGATCAAGATAAGATGTCAAAACAAGCTTATAATTTCCCAAGATGGTTTTATGAAGCAAAGCTGTCAGTTTTTCTGTCATAAAGCTTCAGAAAAGCCTAAATTTCCCATTTTCGTTTTTTACCTCATTGTGCGCAGTACAATTGCAAACTTTTTTTTTTGACCTTTCGGAAACAAAGTCTGGAATTGTAACATTTAAGTTACTTTTCTAGTCTTCTAATTATGTAGGTTCTTTCTTTAAATAGAATAATAATAAGATTTTTTTCTTTTCCATGTTGGGAACATATTTTCCTACATTTTGGAAAACACAAATCACTGACATCTGAGCATACAAGAACATTTCCTCAAGGCATGGACTGTGTCTTTTTTCATTTTATCACCAACACTGAGCTTAGTAATTGTCACCTAACAGATGCCCAACATACATACCTTCAAGCTAGATGATGCCATTTTATCATTCCTAGCGAACAGCATTTGAATGGTATCTCCACTCCATTCTCCGCTGTTCCCTGGTGGTGGCAATGTTTTTGAGAAATAAGGGTACAGAAACCTATTTCTTCTCAAACTGGCCAAACTCCATAGTTTTACTACCCTCCCTCCCTCTTGATCTCCAGAGCAGGCATTCTCAATGTTAGTCTGTATCAGATTTACATGGGAGCTTGTTGAAGCATAGAGCTCTGGGTCATGCCCCAGAGTTTTTGTTTCAAGAGGTGTGGGACTAGTGCTGGAAAATTTGTATTATAAACAAGTTCCCAGGTGATCTTGATGTTACTGCTCGGTGGGTCACTCTTTGAGAACATCTCTGGAACAATAAGATGCTCTTCTGTCTCATTTTAATAATTTTTCTAGCATTTTGTTTTCTGGATGCAATGGTAGGCTTATTGTTGTCACTTTCCTTATCTACACCCTGGAATATTTTTCTCATCATTTCTTCTTGTTTATTCTCATCATTGTCCTAAAGCATTCTAGATATGTTCTTCTTCCTTACAATCTTGAAAGCTTTAGGTTATTCTACTGAATCCTGACCCTTGAACCTGAAAATGTTTTTTTAGAATTACTAATTCAGGAGAAAAAAATACTTTATGGTTACAGAGGCCTTACTCAGCATTTAGTCTGGTGGTTTATACAGTGAAACCTGTGAGAGTCAGAGCCGGTACTCAACGGGGCTATCAGGTTTTCCCAATTCTTGCAAGTTTTCCACTTTTAACGGGTTGCAGACCACATTTCTAGTGCTCATTATGTTGTTGTTGTTGTTGTTATGTGCTGTCGAGTTGGACCCGACTCATAGCGACCCCTTCTTGGGTTTCCAAGGTGATATCACTACGGAAGTAGATTGCCCCATCTTCCTTCCAAGGAGTGGCTGGTGGGTTTGAACCGCCAGCCTTCTGGTTAGCAGTTAAATGCATTAGGCACTACGCTACCAGAGCTCCGAGTGCTCATTATAGTGGAAAATATTTGAGTTTTTTTTTTTTTCCTTCTCTCTGACGGTTTCTGCCTTACACAGCTTCCAGCTTTCCCAGGTTTCATTGTATTTCACAAAGGAGTATATTGAGACCTAAAGAAGCATTCACTTCCTGAAGGAAAAATAGCTAGGAAGTGCTAGAATTAGAACCAAACCCCACAACTCTTCTTCTGGGAGAGTGTTGCCTCTGTTCTGAGGGAATCTGCCCATGCCCCTTCTTCACATTCTTCCTAACTCGTTGTATCCATTTTGTGTCGCCTTGTGATCTTTTTTTCATTCCTTCCCCATTTTACATTTTTTTTCTTTCTCCTGCTCCTCTCCTGAGTTTTCTGTGAGCCACCTAGATGTTTTCTCCTTGCCCTCCACCACCTGTTGAATTTCTCTGCAGTATCTCCTAGAACTTGGCACAGGTCTGGTCAGGGCCCTGTCACCATCTGATTGTTTGTGAAGTGACTCCAGGGTAAGTAAACAACCTGCAGGCTGAGAGAGTGGCCTTTGCAATCAGGTTGGCTGGGTTTGAACTCAGGATCTGTCACACACTCGGCGAGTTTAGAAAATCTGTTGAGCGTGTAGGTGGATCATTTTTCATCTTCAAAATGAGGTTGCTGTGAAAATTAGATAAAACAGTTCATATCCAGTGAGTAGCATGGTACCCATCATACAGTCACATTTGAAAAATATTTGCACTATTAAGCCCCTAAACAAAAGGGAACCAGAAACACTTTTAACTCTTAGCATTCAAAATCTTAAGTTTTACAAGTATCATTTTCATTTTTTAAAAAATGCTTCTAATCCTCTGCCTTTTATTATCATTACTAGCTTTTGTTTTTGATCAAGTAATGCTGGCTATGGGCAGAATATTTCTCTCCCTGATCCTGTGTGGATGAGGTTTGCAGGCTGTCCAGAAGCTGGCCACAAGGGCTATATACTAAGCCCCCTGGCTGCATGTTGATAGCTAAGCCATTCCTGCCAAGAGGCTTGCCGTCCATCTTTGCAAGCATGGAGAATTTAAACCAAATTCAGTTTTTCTTCCTTCCTTTACCTTATGGAATCAAATAATCTACATTGGCACCTAGCTGTTCTTGTTGATGCTACCACATTATTTGTTTGTTTGCATTTTTCCATGTCATAGAAGAGAACAATACTGTAAATCGGTGAAATGGCCATCTCCCAAGAGCCAAAATTGAGTCAGTCTTTTGATTTGGTGGTGAACTTTTAATCTGTGTATGTCAACTCCTTCCAAATACCCAAACACACACCTGTACCAGTAACACCTCACACCTGAAATCAGAGTTGGGATGTGCCTAAACAGCCCCATCTCTTTCTTGCTGTCTGATCTCTCAGCCTAGAGATGAGGTCAATCACTTATTGCAGGACCTTAAGGGTCTGCAAGGCAGAGGTTTCATTGTTTTGTTACTGTCATTACTATTGTTGCTCACTTTGCACTAGTATCATACTTGGACTGTAGCATCAAACTATACATTGCAAGTCCCAAACAAATGCTAGCGTATGTATTGGGACTGTGACCTCTGAGTATGATGTCAAAACTCCTCTTAGCAGGAGAACCTGTTTTCAATTGTCCTTTGACAGCCTTTACTTTCTTCCCCAAACATCTTTCGAATCTCATCAACATTCTGAACCATTTAGATGGAATATACTGAACTAACCTGAGACTTTTTCATTAACAATAAAATAAGTTATAGGAAAAGCAGTGATGTCCAACCAAGAACATCTGTGACAGTTCTTGGTATACAAGGATACATTCAGGAGGCAATGTGGGGTGGTGGTTAAAGCTTGAGCTGTAGATCAGTCTGTCTTGACCAAATCTCAACTCTGCCATTATCAAGCTCTATGAGCCAGCCTCTCTGACTGCTCTGTGCTTCAGCTCACCTCTATGTATAGGCAGTTGTTGTTATGTGCCGTGGAGTCAGACCCGACTCAGAGCGACCCCTCCTTGAGTTTCCAAGGTGGTATCACTATGGAAGTAGATTGCCCAACCTTCCTTCCAAGGAGTGGCTGGTGGGTAGTAATAGTATTTATTATTAATGTGTTCATATAAGTACTTATGCATGCTAAGTGCTCAATAAATATGACTGTCCTCCTCCAAAATCATCACACTCTCCTATCTGCAATTGCATATTGTATTCTTGTCATGCCCTTAAAAAGATCTAAAGTTTATTTTAAGAGTACATTTTAGAATCTTGAAAAGAGTTGTCTATATATTTTGACCTTTAATGAAACAGGGAATGCATTTTTAATGACATAAATCAATAGTTGTGGGTTAATAATTTAATAAAACTCTTGCATTACATTCTTGCAACCCATGGTGTCGTCTAAATAATCTATTAGTTTGACGTTATGAACATAGAAATTTTGGCTGCTATGTTTTTTCTCAGATGCTTAGGTGAATGAGTAGTGCCCTGAACAACCATAGTTAAGGGTGCTGGAGCTGCTTGGCTTTGGCTGCAGTAAAGGGCTGTGAGTACCCAGTCAATATGGATTGTGGCAAGGTGTTTCTCTGTATCCAAAGTGCAGCGAGATGGTATATGATTAGGGCTAGACTCCACCATCAATGCTTCTGCACATTGTCTCAGTTACCTCCATATTTTTAAGAAGTCCATTGTCCACTCTCATCCCTGTGATTTCACTCTTCTGTGCCATCTGAAGGATGCTCAGTTATTATCAAGAAGCCCAAGCCCTCCCAGGTTCACCTGTTGGCTATATTAATAAGAGTTCTCCAAATATGTAGAGTACAGTGCAGTACCTTTCAGGACTTAAATATATTATCTTATTAAAAATAATAATACCATCTGTTTGATTCAGTATTTAAAGTGCTAGGCTGCTAACCAAAAGGTTAATGGTTCGAACCCACCAGCTGCCCCGTGGGACAAAAATAAGGCAATCTGCTGCCATAAAGATTTATAGTCTTAGAAACCCTATGAAGCCTTTCTACTCTTTCCTATAGAGTTGCTATGAGTCAGAATTGACTCAGTGGAAGTGGGCTTGGTTTTGTTTGGACCATCTATTTCTCACATAGCATGTGTTAGGTTATATAATTGATTTCTCACATCTTTTTTTTTGGGGGGGGGCACAGTGTAATTCTTAATTTCTAAAGTCAATGTTATTTCAGCTGTATGAAAAAGGGAAACTAATATTGAATGCCCTACCATTGCCCTGGTCAGAAGGTTAAAAAGGCTGAGTCCCTATGCAAGCCATGTCCTTTTGACTTTCAATCCTATGCATGTTCTCCTAACCCATACTGCTCCTTGAGATCCATTTGATTTTGAGATTTGTTCACTCAAATATACTTTTCTTCCAGTAGGTATGATTCAGTGCTATTTACTGACACCTGCAGCAAAAAAAGATTATTTTTAAACAGGCCCATTTACATTTTAGCTGTTTGGGTTTTAGAGAGCAAGTACTTTAAACCCATGAACATGATCAGCACTCCTTAAGCTACACCCTGTTTTACTGCCATCTTGGTCATTTCATTGTCATCATTCCAGCTCAGTAAAATAGTTCCATGGCATTAATTATTTGGGAAGATGGGAGTTTTCAGGCACTGAGTTTAGAGCTTTAGGGTACCATTTACCAATTTATCACATAAGTGGCATGGGAGAAGGCCCTAACCCCTCTTTTCGCAGAAAATTGACACATCTGAATAACAGGCAGCAGAGATTTCAATAAAGTATGAGCCCAAAATGTGGGAAAGACATTCATTAATCTCATCCTGCAGCCTGCACTTCAAATTCTTTAATGATGGATCGTGTGAAAATGAACATGTAGACCGGGAGCTGTGCTTTCTCTCCTCCTCTCCATGTGCTGAATGATTTGTTGATCTGTTTCTCTGCCAGGTTCTGAATCTTCCAGCAGTGCAGGTTCCTCAGGATCGCTGTCCCGTACCCATGCACCCATCCAGAGCGCACCCCTGGTCTCGGGCGTGGCAGTCAGTTCTTCCAGCTGTGTGCCCTATACTGAGAATGGAATGGGGGGGCAAGTCACTCCGAGCAGCACCAGCTACATCCTCCTTCCACTCGAAGCTGCAACAGGCATCCCACCTGGAAGCATCCTTCTTAATCCGCACACAGGTTAGTTTACTACCTATGCTTTGGCAAGGGCACAAGTGTCTAAAGTAAAGATTCACGAGCGAGATTCCTGAAAAATCCTGAGCAGGAGAGCTTCATACATGAACTACTGTGTAGGGCCTTTGTTTCAGGAGAGTAGTTATCTGTATATATATTTGTATCTCTCTAGCTCTAGCTCTGTTGCTCTCTCATCTCTATATATCCTTATCCATATCTACCTCCACATCCTTACTCATATGCATATAGATACAGATAATTTTCAGAAACATCTACTTTGCTCTTTATCCTCTCTTCCCTGACCACAGAGGCTATTATGTAGTCCCTGGAGCTACAATCAGAGACATAGTGTGATGGGCTGGGATATGCTAATTAAGTCTTTGTGTTTCACAGACTAAATCTCTGGTTAGACTGCTTTACATCAGAAGTGTTTTTGCATCCAAAGATATTTCAGGAATTTATGGTATTAATTGAGACATATAGTGGAATCTTTATTATAGTAGCTGCTCTGTTGCTTTCAAATTTTATACAATTCTTGCTGGACTAGCAGTGAGCAAGAAGATACAGAAGTCACATTCTTATATACTTTAAGAATTGGGGCTTAGACTGGTTTTAGCAAAGTTTGAAAATTGGTCATTCTGTGATTGTAGTATCTTCAGTGATGAATTATCCTTGGTTCTTTATTTTTGAGTCTCCTTAATGTATCAGTTAACTTCCACATTTATTGCAACAGAAACAAGAGCATTGAGATCTTAACATCAACAAACAGCCAAAGAACATGTTTCATGGGGAAACTTCTCAACTGAGGGAAATTTTACACAAACACACACAGACAGAAGCTGTTTGATAATGTCTGGAGGCATTTTTGATTATCACATCAGGGAAGTTGATACTACTGGCATCTACCAGATAGAGGCCAGAGATGCTGCTAATGTCATACAACGTGCAGAACACCTCGTCCTCCCCACAACTGAGAATTATCCAACCCAGTATGTCAGCGTTGAGAAACTGGTTTAGAACGCATGATACGGACCTCTTCAGAGGCCTTTGTTAGTAATTGGATGCAAATGGAATGGAATTGGCTCAACGTATCTGAGGTTTGGTTTAGATCATTCCAGGGCATGTCTTTAAAAATCACTTGAAAATGCAAAACCAGATGAGAATCCCATAAAAGTGATCTGACTCAATCTCTTCACATATACCGTGCAACTAGTGATTAGGAAAATCTGAAAAACATGAGAACTATAATAAAATAGTTTCTTGAATAATTGCCACATTTTTGTGAAAACATATGGCACATTCTCAAGTCATGGTATTTGAGACATTTTGAAAATACTGAAAGCTTGAGGGAAAAGAAACCATAATCATTTTATTGAAAACCATTTGAGAGCTTCAGATTAGATACTTCTAAAGAGACTATTGGTTTGTTTTTATCATTTTTGGGGAGAGGAATGAGATGATTGTACACGCTGTAAAGGAAATTAAAAGAATTCAGGACCATACTCATTACTTTGGGCACTGAACAAAGTCTGATCTGACTGTTGGTTTAAATCCTTTGACTTTTAATTGAGATGAAGAGCTTGCAGACAAGAGCATACACTAAGCATTTGTTTTGAATGTTGTGCTTTAAACAAAATTACAGAGTATTTTAAAAAAAAAGCTCAACACAGTATTTTTAGGTGAAATGCAACAATATTGTTTGTAATGATAGCATGGCTGTGACTGTGTATGTGTATATTATCATCTATAATCTTGTTTATAGAAAAAGAAATAAGAATGCTGCCTGGTGCCAAGTCCTCATTCTTATTCATTGGACCCAGTCATTTAGAGCTGTTCTCAAAATATCTTCTTTGAAAGCATCCCGACTTAGGAAAAGGATCTAATAACAGTGTTGAAAATCTTCTCCATACACATTTCTCTAATCTGACAAATGCTGGCTATTAAAATATCTCTAGACCAGAAGGAAAGTGTATTAATATATACTATGGTTGAGCATAGTGGGTTGCAAGGTGAATTACTATGTTTTTTCTTTCCACATTGCATTTATTTCATAAAACCACTCTGGGGAAGGAACACTGGGCAATCTACTTCCATAAAGATTTACTGCCTCAGAAACCCAAAGGGCGTTGCTACGAGTCAGAATCTACTCATTGGCAATGAGTTTGGTTTGGAGTTACTATATAAGTTACTATATCTATGTATCTATCTATCTATCTATCTATCTATGTTGTTGTTATGTGCCATTGAGTTGGACCTGACTCATAGTGACC